TAGTGGTTCCCTGAGGTGCGTCACCACTGCCCTAGCACTCCCATCATCCTTGTGGGCACAAAGCTGGATCTTCGTGATGACAAGGACACCATTGAAAAACTGAAGGAGAAGAAGCTATCCCCCATTACATATCCTCAGGGCCTTGCTCTGGCCAAGGAAATTGGTATGTGTCTGGGAAACCATCTTGAACCTACTGAAAGGAGAGAGACAGAAGATAAGGGCTTCCCCTCAACTTACTAAGGCTTTTGTAGAGGTATCTCACAGTGGAATCTCTGAGGGACACCGGGAGACACATCAAAGGTCATAGGACAAAATGTACTTCGGGAGAATCAGGAAGGACATCTGCTTATTGAGGAAGACTCAACCTGGCAATGTTCTCTCTGGTCACCATCCTCCACATACACACACAAATACATGCTTTTACATTCCCCTCCCCTTTTACTCTGCTACTTCTATCTGGGACAATATTCTTCTGTGAAAGCCACAGCTGCCTTGTGGGCAGAGGCCTCTCCTCTACATCCGGAAAGAGGTAGAAGAGTGAAGTTTTTAGCATCTCAGGAAGAGTTGCAACTGCAACTTCCCCCCTCTGCTTCTGTCTTCTGGGGCTTATACATGCAGCCCCAGGTATGAGCTACCATTCAGCTAGGGGCATCAGCTCCCCTCTATACCTCAGAACGTGCATAAATGCCTGCTCCTCTCTTCTCAGAGGTGGCACACAGAGGTAGGAGAGAGGGTGGGAAACAGTTTAAGGGAGAAGTTTTCAATCAGGAGTTCAGCAGAGGGGATGTCTGGCCAGGATAACATAGCCAGACAATGGCTCTGCTCTGGCTACAAAGGTGGAGAATAGGGAAACCTTGGTCTTGTACAGCTGGCAAGCTTTGCCCTAAAGAAAAGACTGTGAGTGAGTGAAGTGTGTCCTGACAATGAGTAATGTCCTTGATCACTTGACATATATTTATTCAATTCAGGCAAGAGGCTGGTGCCTTGCTTTCTAGCACAAGCAACAGAAACCTGGGTACCCCACTGCCTACCCCAGCTCCCTTCCTCCCCATTACAACACCCGGCTTCCTCCCAACAGACTCTGTGAAATACCTCGAGTGCTCGGCTTTGACGCAGCGCGGCCTCAAGACGGTGTTTGATGAGGCCATCCGAGCAGTCCTCTGTCCACAGCCCACCCGAACAAAGAAACGTGTATGCAGCCTCCTCTAAGCAAGTAAGTCTGACAGGGATTCCAGGGAGTGACACCAGTGACACTTTCCTGTTCCTGGACCTAGATGGTCAGGGCTACTGGGTTCCTGTGACCTGCTGAGCCTGGTGGAATGGGTCATCCTCAAAGAGAGAGAGGGAGACAGCAGTCCTGCTTGGGGAAAGGACAGGACATAGGGTGATGTACCCCAAAACAACTTCCCCCTCCTTTCTGTTTGACTATGGGCAAGTTTACTCCCATCTCCTGGTGCAGGGCTGCCTAGGATTTTCCACATTTGTCCTCACAGACAAGAGCTGTCTGTCCTTCTGCCACAGAGGGAACTACATCCAGGCTGCCCTGGGCATGACCTGCTCTGAGAGCTATGAAGCCGTAGCCTTTGTCTAGAGGAATGAAAAAAAAAATAAAAATCTATTCCGTATTCATGGCAGCTGCCCAATGGCCCTTCCTCTTACCAAGCCCTGCTCACCTCAAGGGGGTTTTTGTGTTGCTGTTCATTGGCAGGCAGCAGCTTTTCCTCCAGAACTCCTTTACTCCTCATATTGTCCCTAATTGCCTTTCCACTTCAGCTCAAGTCAACAGAGGGAATAGAGAGGCTTCAGGATGAGAGGCAAAGCTGGCCAAATTTGATGAGAGAGAAGAGTGGGAGCTTCCTAATTGGGACCCTGCCCCTTCATACTCCCACCATCACCAGGGCAGAGGGAGGGAGGGCGGGCAGGAAAACAGTTGAGCTGGTATTAGGAGGTCTGTTGTGTTTTTGGCTATAGATCCTGGCCCCATCCTGACATCAGGTGCTGCCCAGCACACAGGAGAGTGATGGCTCCAGCTTCCCAGAGCTCAGCACCTTGTGGCGGTCACTGTGCTTTTTTTACTGCTGCCGGCTTGAAAGACTGTTGTGGGTCTGTAGCACTGGTGTGTTGGTTTGCACAACTTCCCCACACTCGCCTCACCCCACCTGCTCCTGCCCTTCTTCCTGGGCCCCTGAGGTTACAGCATAGTGAATAAGACCCAATAAACAGACCATATTCTTGCCATGTCTGCGATGTGTTGCACCACGGGGGGACACAGCCCTGAAGCAGTGAGCAATGGGACAGCTGGGTGGAGGCACCTACCAGCTATGCCCCTCCTTCAGCAACAACAAGCCAGGCAGAACCACACTGAGCTTCCTGAGCCCCAGCCACTATTCAATGAAGAGACACGGCATGATTCATGCACCAAGTTGCTAAGTTCTCAGCTGAGCCCCCTGCATTCCTCAGTAAAGTGCAAATATTGTGTGCAGTGGGGTGATTACATCTTCGCTTTTGCCTTTCTTCTTCTCAGTCTCCATGTGTCCAAAGGAAGAGTTTTCTCCCCTTCGAGACCCACAGAGGATGGGGTGCAGGCTTTGGGATGGGACACCCAGACCCAGATTCCTCTCCGTGAGGACTGCCCCTGCAGGTTGCTGTGGCCATCCTTTCACCAAAACACTGCTGCATTAATCTTCCTAAGCTCACATCCCAAGGAGTCATATCAGTACTAGCATTCACGCATACTGCTAGGCACAGTCAGAAAGAGAATAGGGAGGGGGAGGGCAGGGAAAAAAATTAAAGAGGGAGGAATGAGTCACCAGTCCAGACAAATTGCCTCCAAGACACTAAAATTAAGCTGAAGAGAGTGGTCCCAGAGGTGCTATGGATCTGGCAGCTGTGAGCACCTGCCTTCCTGATGCATTGCAGGGACTTGAGAGTAAGTGTTACAGGGTGGCTGCCGCTGCCACTGCTTGCGGGAGGGAGGAGGGCTCAGGGTGCAATGATTGGCACTGCAAAATCCTGCAGTCCTAGGAGGGCACAGAGAAACTATGAAGTTGGGCCAGGTTATCACTCCTGGATGCAGCAACACTTCTGAGCTTCAAAGGCTGCTTCCTGCACTGAGGAGGTGCATGGGTAGTGCCAGCTACAACCACCACAGTGAAGCCCCCAAGGTACCCTGCTGCCAGGGAAATTTCTGCATTTTCAATTCATGGTTGGATCTAAATAAGGCAGTTAATTCAGTGATGTGACACATTGCCTACTGATAAAGTCCAGAGCAACCCTGGAGGGCATCCTGTGGCAGTAAGTCCCACAAATATCTGCATTGCACATGGGCTGCTGGATTAATTTCCCAGGGCCCATCCAAAGGTAATGTAAATTATGTCAGTGTAAGTCCAGATGCACAAAAATTAAGTCTTTGGTATGGGCGTATACCTGTGGAAGGGCAAGGGACACAAAGCCCTTGAGAATGGGATCTAATCTCCTTTAAAAATTCTAAGCATTACTCAAACCAATGTATTCCCAGTGGTTTATTACTTCCTCTCTAGTTTTCAAGCCTTGGCTTTTAACTTCTCAATCTGCCTTGTCCCCACAAACAGCAATACTGACCATGTGCATGAAACAAAATTTATGTATCTTCCTACCTGTGGAGGTGCAAAGGCTGAGCTCTCATCCCAACACAATTTAAGCAGTTTGCACAACCCTGTTAGAGCTGAGAATGGGGCAGGACTTGGAGCACTGGGGAAGCGATCTGGAGACCTGGAATTTGTGATCCTGTGACTGTGCTTACACTAGCAAGTCCTGCAAGGGTTAGCAGGCCTGGGTAGAGCTCTGCTGTTGTTTGGCTCTGTTTCTTCTAAGACAGGAACTGAGGGGCTCCTGCATGGTGCTACAGATACCTGCTCTGCCATGGCAAAGAAAACCTTTGGGTGCTACCCATGCCATTTTTTCCACAACGAGGCGTCATATCTCTTGTGTGTCTCCAGATAGCATTGTGGTGAAGTTCCAGCCTAAGGCAGCCTGACAGCTTTGAAGTCCTGTACTGCCTTCATCAGCTCACCTATGATCAACACTGGTTGAACATAAAGTTGTTCAAATAGATTTGGAATGCCAGATTAAACCCTGGCTATGTTCTGCTTGCAGAGATACTACCTTCTTCTGTTAAGGCTGGAATTGGCCCTGGGGGCTCAAATGGTCACAACAGCAGTGCCAAATGTCAAGAAGTGGGTGACTGCACAGCAGGAACAGTCACTGATGTTGGCTGCAGGGCTGGGAAGGGGGTGAGTATGACAGGAAAGGCCTTTGTGCAGGGAATGGAATGGGAAAATCCTCATGTCCTTCTTGGGAGAACTGCTCAAACAAAGGAGACTAATTTCCTTCCTAGACCCATTTCTTCTGGGTCTACATGTTCCAGCAGAGATGAAATCTAGTAGGAGAGTTCAGGGCTGTTGAACTAGAGTATTTTCCCAATGAAAATGCAAAAGACAAGAGATTGTTCATGGAGCCAGATAAGGGAAGAAGTTGAAACATATAGCCCCCTATTTGGCCGTCTGTCCTCATCTCCATCCATCTGGAGATGCTCATAGGGCAGAATAGAAGGGACAGGGGTTTGTGTGCTCAACATCTACCTCGATTTCTGAGCATCTTGCCAGCCAGAAGGTTTTGCCGTGTCCCTGCAGCTCTGAGCAACGTGAGTCCTGCCCGCACGACCCTCGGAACAGGGAGGCTGTCTCCTGGGTGCCTGCCTAGGGAAGCTGAGTCGAGTCACCCCCTCCTCCACACCACTCTCCCACCACATAGCTGCTCTCTCTATCCCTCTTCTTCCTCTCCCTCTCCCTTACACTGTCTTCATCTTCTTCTAACGCACTCCTCATTCCTTCATCCTCCCCGTCTTCCACGCTCCTCTATCCTTTTGCCCCTCTCCTTGCACCTCTCTCTCCTCCTTCTATTCTCCATCCCAGTGTCTCCTCCCGCTCCTCGTTCTCCTGCCCTGTCGTCCATCCCCTCCTTCTCCTCCTTCTCCTGCCGGTGTTTCCGTGCGTGGCGCCCATTGGCTGCCGGCACCCGTCCCCCGGTGCCGCCGCTCCGCTCCCTCTGCCCGAGCCCCGCAGATGGCGGGGGCAGCGAGGGGGACAGACCCTCCGGCGTGGGGCTGAGGGACCGCGCAGCCCCGGCCAGCCGCCCACGGGCACGGCCGTGGGCCCCGCTCCCACGCCAGCCAGGGAGTGGGCGATGGGCAACTGCGGGAAGAAGCACTCGCGTCTCCGGTAGAGCACGGTGGGCGCGTTGCCTCCGGGACCGCTCTGCTCTACTGCTCTTAAGAAAGGGGAAGGGGAAAAACATGACACGGATTCTCCCGGTGAAGCAGAGGAAAATGTACATCCCGACGACATGTAAGTACCCGGCGGCTCTGCCCGCGTTTCCCAGATGACACCCGTGGGCGTGAGTCCATGCAGAAGTTAACTCTGCAGTCCCAGAGAAGGAAACCTGCCGACCTCCCCCTCCGGCTCCCCACCCTCCAATTCTGCCAGTCCATCCTGGTCCGTACCAGGTAGCTCAGCCTCAAGGTGAGACGGCGGAGTCCTGAGCTGGAGCAGGACCATGGGAAACCGGGGGGGACAGGTGGGGAGGGGGACAAGAGGGGCTGCAGGTTATTGGTCTCTGTGGTCCCTCCCAGCTTCTATTCATGTATTGTAACCAGGTCGAGGCTCAGCTCTTAGCATCCACCTCCTCCTTTCATTCAATGCAGAAATATATATATATATATATATAATTTATTTGTTTTTTTCTAAAGAAAGCAGTAGCAGCAATTTTCCATCTCTTCCTACCTCTCTGCCTTCCTTCTGCTCTCTGGCTGCATGAGCCAGGTACATTCTGGTAGCACCTGTTAGCAGATCCCAAGCCTCTTGCAACAGGTGCTGTCCACATAAGGGACAGACTCCAAGTGGATGCCAAAACACTATCAGTCTGAGGCCAAGGTTCCTCCCCAGTTCCTACCTATGCCATGTGCTGCCAAAGCAGCCAGCTGAGTAGATCCAAGCTAGATGAGGCACTGGTATCCAGTGATTGTTCTGTCAAACTATCCAGAATGTATGACATGCTGTTTGAGCTGGTGCATGGTACTTAACAAAGTTAGAATGGCAGAAACAGACCACACCTGCCTAAAGTTTCTTCACTGCATCTATCTGAGCAGGAAAAATGAGTTTATAGAAAATCCATGGGTTTTGCTGCGTGCCCTAGCATTTTTGATGTTTTCTGGGGCCGTGAAGCTAGGTTTACTGTATTGCTAAACCACAGCCTAAACAACAAGCTTTGAGGTCTGGACCCCAGATACTTCTCCAAATGCTCTTCAGCCCCAGCATCAGAATTTTAATCCATATTTGGTATTTGGAGGGCTCTCTTTTCAAATGTTTGGCTTTTTTTTTTTTTTATTCATTTGCATGCAGGAGGAAAATCCAAAGGAATGCCTAACTACATCCTCACCATTTAGAGGATCATCTTTTTATGAACATACTGTTCTGGCCTCTGCCACCCTTTTCAGGGATCTTCATAACTAGAGCAGGCATTGCCCTCCTTTTTCCTCCAACAAGTGATTTGTGTCACTAGAACAGCATTGGAAAAAATATCAGAGGAAAGACCCCTCAGTTTAGAGTTTCAAACCACTTTCTACTCTGCCCATTCATTACAGCCACTCATGATGTGTGGGACAATCCACTGCTGCAGGACTCCGGTAGATGGGCTTCTATCAGGACAGTGTGTCACAGCCCAAGGTACCTGCAAATAAAGAAAATTTAAACAATTCCAGTCCTCCAAAGCTCAAATGCTTCAAAGCAGGAAACATTCATGCAGTAGCCTGTAGAAATGGCCTTAAGACATAGTTGCCCAACTGTGTTTTTATGGGGCCTACCAGATGAGGTTCCTTCAGTATAAGATTGGATACATCTGTGGAGTTTGTTGGGTTTGCTTGTCTGATATCCAATGAATCCATCTAAAGCTCAGTTCTCCCCCAGTGTTTCCAGAACTTGGTATGACATCTACAAAAAATAGAATAAAAGCTGTAATATTAAGACATTTGTGAAGGAAGTTGGGATGCCAACACATTTGGGAGAAAAGTCTCTGGAGTGTTTCTGGCCTCCTGAAAGTAGTTAAGATTGGGAGTCCTTTCCTTTGAGATTCCCAGTTTTAATTTCAATAGAAAAAGAGCTTCAGAGTCCTAGGAGATTTGTTGAGATGTGTAAAGGTGAATCTCAGGGTCCTTGTTCCCTACTACTAAGTCATCCTCCCTTCCAACAAGCTAATTCATCAGGAGGATGACCCTGTCAGTCCACACCTCCAGAAGATTTTACCAGAGCTAGACTGGTTCTGAAAGCACCACAAATCTCCCTTGCATAAGGTTTACCAGGGTATCTCTGGTCTGTAGTATGTGCTGGGCTCTGTATTTCACATATCTGGAGCCCTCACAAAAGGCACGTCTGTCCCTTAACTGTCTCTTCTCTCCCTGCAGCTTCTCACCCAGTGTTAGCAGCGACCTCGTGGTGAATGGAGAACTTGTTTGCTCAAGGCTCTCTCTAAGTGAGCCGAGCGCTGTTTCCATGCCAAACCCTGACGTGATGGGCAATTGGGCACCTCAGATTAGGAAGGCTGGGATGCTGCTTTGGTGTTGCAAACAGGTGGGCATGCAGGGCCTCTGTCATTAGCAGTGTGTTGCAGGGTGCAGAAGGAAACAGAGAGGCAGGGAGAGAGAAAGAGAGAGAGAGAGAAAGAGAGAGAGAGAATAAGGCAGAAAATGAGAGAGAGATAAAGAGAGACTTGGACTGATCCCTCTTAGTATACTCAAAATAATCTGGCTCTTCCTTTGCTCTCAAACTGCCATAACACAAAACAGCTACCCTCCAGCTCAGGTGCTGACTCCAGCCTCTACTGAGAGTGAAGGTGCTTTTGCTTCTGCTGGGAGAGCCAACAATAAACTGGCCAGTCCAAAAAGAGTTTCAGAAAGCAAGAGAATACTCAGAGAATGGGGGAGTCAGAACTGGAATGGCTTTGTCACTGGATGCTTTTCCCTCTTTGGTTTCTAAGGTACCTGCCACTCATAAATGAGAATCAGGCCTCTGGTGACCATGTCCTCAGTATTGTAGCCATTAGCAGAAAATGAGAAATTTCCCTGCCCTTATCCTATTCTGTTGTTATTTCCCTAGAGGATCTTTCCGTAGGAGAGACAATCCATTGGCCCACACTGAGCCATATCATTGTTTGTCCCTCCATGCCCACTGTGCCTTGCAGGACTAGATGGGTTTGATATTGTCCTAGATTTTCCAGTGGCTGCCAGCATCCACAAACTCACCTTGACTTTCCATGCCTACCCATATCTAAACCACAGTTAATGTAGTGATTTTATCTGTGGCTTGTTCAGCTGTCATGTCCCCAGTATCAATGTATTTTTTTCTCCCCCTCTCATTTCCAGATTGCTAACTGATCCTGCGAGGACACTGCCTCCTGCCCTCTTTCCTGCCTCTGCTATGAACACTTCTGCTTTCAGCCTCCCCACACCGGCAGTGTCGGAGGAGGGGAATGCCTCTAGCAGCTGGGAAGGCTTCACCACCCCCAACAGCTCCGCCACCGTCAGCCCTGGTGTAGTTGTCAGCGGTGTCCTCATCCCTGTGGTCTACCTCATTGTCTGTGTGGTGGGGCTGGCTGGAAATTCTCTGGTCATTTATGTGGTCCTGCGGCACTCTGTGAGTGAGTCGGTGACCAATGTCTACATCCTGAACCTGGCCCTAGCTGATGAGCTCTTCATGCTGGGCCTGCCATTCCTGGCTGCGCAAAATGCCCTCTCCTACTGGCCGTTTGGTTCTTTCATGTGCCGCCTGGTGATGGCCGTGGATGCCATCAACCAGTTCACCAGCATCTTCTGCCTGACGGTGATGAGTGTTGATCGCTACTTGGCAGTGGTCCACCCAGGGAAGTCCTCCAAATGGCGAACAGCACGAGTGGCCAAGGCTGTGAGTGCAACGGTGTGGGTGCTGTCTTCCATAGTGGTGCTGCCCGTGGTTGTCTTCTCAGACGTCCCTTTAGGGATGAGTACGTGCCACATCCAGTGGCCAGAGCCAGCCTCGGTGTGGAGAGCTGGCTTTATCATCTACACTGCTACACTGGGCTTCTTTGGACCACTGCTGGTGATTTGTCTCTGCTATCTTCTGATTGTTGTGAAGGTTCGTTCCTCTGGCAGGCGGGTGAGGGCTCTGTCCTCCAAGCACAAGCTTTCAGAGCGCAGAGTGACCCGCATGGTGGTGACTGTTGTGGCTGTCTTTGTCCTTTGCTGGCTCCCCTTCTATGTCCTCAACATAATCAATGTTGTTTGCCCACTGCCAGAGGAGCCGTCCCTCTTTGGTGTCTACTTCCTTGTGGTGGTGCTGCCGTATGCCAATAGCTGTGCCAATCCTATCATCTATGGCTTCCTCTCCTACCGCTTCAAGCAGGGCTTCCAGAGGGCCATCTTCAGGCCATCCCGCCGAGTCCAAAGCCAGGAGGTGCCAGCAGGCCCCCCAGAGAAGACTGATGATGAAGGAGAAGAGGGCGAGATCAGCAAGATCACCCAGAATGGAAATGGCAGGCAGGAGCGCCCTCTAAGCAGTGGAGAAGGAGAGAGCAATGAGCAAAAACCACTCCCTGAGCAGCCTGTGGGATGTGAAAAGAGCAACAAGTTGCATGTCAGTTATTTGTGATGAAAGGGATGGTGTAGGGGAAAGAGACATTGGAATATGAGGCCCCCTTCACCTTGTCTGCTTTTCAACCTCAAAGGCAATGGGAGACAAAGGCATATTAAAGTCCAAGAGTCTGTTTAAAGATGAAGAGGGCTCCATGAACTTGTAGAAGAAACAAGACATTTTTCTTGGCTTTGGAAAAGACACCTGAGGTTTATGTGGTACTGGGTAAAGAATGGACTGCATCCAGGGGGAGCTGAAGAGGTGCTGGGCACTGACAATACATAGAGAGCAAGATCAGCCCTAGATTGCATGATCTGTCCTTAAATGACTCAGCTGTAGGGGGCATCAGCTGCCATCTGATTGTAGCATGTCAAGGAAGTTCCCAAATGGCATATACTACATGTAGGCATCCCAGTGCCTTGATTATCCTCCTTACAAACACAAGAAGTGGCTTACCCTGAAAGACAAACAGGGAGGAAAAATGTCTGCAGCAAAGACATACCAGCCAGTTGCATGCATGGCTGACCCCTCTCTAGCTCTTAAAAATGCTTTGGGGGCAGCTTTCCTGCCCATGCTGGTCATGGCTGGAGACCACTAATTACTCAAAACCTCCTCTTTCTTTTTAAGGCTCTCATGGACTCTGGGCAGGCTGATGGGACTTACCTGGGAGAAAAAAATGGAACATTTCTTTCCTGCATCTCACATTCTTCAGGGTTTTCCTGGTGCCTCTGCACCCCGGTGGGAGGTGTAACAAAGGTAGAGAAAAAGACAATGCGACATGAATCAGAGGCAGTGTTTCTTACAAGCTGAAATGCCCTTTCCCTTTTCCTCTCCCTAAGCCTTACTGTAAATAAAAAAAAAAGTCGTTGGACATAAAAGGCCAACAGGACAGAAACGTTCTGTGTGTTTAGGGGAGGGGGGTGCTACAGATCTGGCTCTTCTGAGAATATACATTGTCTTTGGGTTGAGTTGATCTCTGTATGGAGCACTGTTTGGCTGACACAAGAGATCAAGGCATCTATCAGTACAGGATGGGGGCAGGAAGCAGAGGGAGGTCAGGGGATCTCCAGTGTGTAAGAGCTATGGTTGCAGAGAGTCTGGGCAATACTAGGAACTGATTCATCTTGTGGGAAATGGTGAGTATTTGGTTCTGGATGGTGAAGAAATTATGTTCATGTGTTTGCATGTGCACAAAGATTGTTGTATGCAAAAGTTTATTCCCTGGACTGTACATGTCTGAGAATGGCTGCAGAGGATGGGAGACAGAGGAGTCAGACTGGTGGGAGATGTGCGTGGGTTGGGCACTGATGCTAATCTGTGTGGTGTATGTAAATGTGTACAGGGATACATAAGGGGGTATGCATGTGTATAAGTGTATACAAACACAGATGGGGGAGTGTGTTAATGTAACTGTGGAATGTTTCAGTGCAGGTATAGTTTTGCAGGCATGCAAGTATTTATGGAAATGTGTGTGCACATGTGAATGCTTGGGTAAGAGTGTGAGAATATGTGTGTTGGGCTGGACCAGTGCTTGCTCCTGTGCATTGGTTGTTGGAGGGAAGCTGTGGTGCGTCCATGTGAACATGTAGGTTAGAACAGCAGCAATGTACAAGGGTGGGTGGGACAAAGGTCTCCTTCTTTGCTTTGGCTTCATTCCTCCTGCACCTTTAACTTCTCCATGAATACTATTGCTAAGCTACAGCCACCAAAGTGGTCCTCATACCAGAGCCCTTGGTTGTATTTGGGCACTTTTCTCTACAAATAATTTTGAGAAATGGGAAGGAGGCACGCACCAGAAGGAGACATGTCTCCCTGAGGTCAGAAGATATTGGAGGAGGTAGTCTGTGGAGAGTCAGTTATGAGAGTTGGCTGGGTGATAGAAAGATGTCTCATGGGTCACTTGAGAGAAGGCAAGAGAAATGAAGGGGTGGCATGGGAACAGGTGTGCTGGGACAGAAGCCAAAAGCCCTGGCCTGGGCAGCAGAACAAGCTGCAGCAGCTGAGGATGGTGGCAACAGAACCACTTTATGAGCAAGCAGGAGTCAAAGTCACACAAAGGCAATGTGAGAAGTGAAGGCCTGGCAGGAACTAGAGGAACTGCAGTGCAGGGCACCTGAGTTCAGGAAAGGACTGTCACAGGGCATGAGGAGAAGAGACATCTCCTAGCCATGTTAGCTCAGGAAGGCAGGGAAGGGACTGCAAACACAACCAAAGACATTCAGCTGTGTGCTCAGCCACGGGTACTGTCATCACCTCCACAAGAAAGGAGGAAATCTACATCCTCATGTTTCCTCTTTAAGCCTGGAACACCAAGCTGTTCATGCCTGCAGGCTCAGCCTGAGTAGCTGAGCTACCAGTGATACCATAAAGCAATTGCTTAGCTCCTCTTACAAAGTGCTACTTGCCCCCTGAGCATGGGCAGTCACCCAGGAGTGCGGGCTCAACTCACAGGGGAAAAAAAGTGCTTGGTAGCCAGATTCTATCCTCTGCTACCTCTTTACATCTCCTCTTTCCATCCATGCATCAGGTTCCCACACTGTGGGCCCCAGTGAGAAAGGCAGCCAAACTCTTCATGGGCGTGGGATACAATCTGTTGAACTAAAAAAAGCCTCTGTTTTATTTTCTTGGGGACCTCCCGCAACATTTATTGGATGAAGCAAAATCAAGCAATCCTAGCAGACTGAGGATGGACTGCCAAAGCTTCTGCCTCTGTAAGGGGCAACAAGCAGTAGGAAGAGTAAAAGGTCTGACTACCAAGTGGTCAGACAGATGGACAACACAGCACTTTAAACAGAGGTCTGTGTTGCTCCTCTTGCAATGAGGAGCAGAGCAAGGTGAATGCTGGACTCCACTGGCACAGCAATCCCTGTAGGATAGAGGAAAAATGGTATTATCTGGGGAGCTTGTAGCACTGTGTTTGATGACCAGGCATTGAAGAAGGCATGTGACAGTGACTGAGGACCTTGTAGGAGGCAGCTCAGGTGGGTGGGGGGCAGATAAAGGGTAGGTTTCCTTATCCGTGGAGTGGCTGCCCAGCTGCTGTAGGGAGATGGGGGAGTTCCCCAGCTGTCAACACACTTAACAGAGAAGTCTCCTTCACCAAATCAAGATGAGACTTCATTTCACACGCCTTTGCAGCTCCATCTGCTGCAAATCACCATTCAAGAAACTCCATCGACTGGTTGGCTTCTTAAAATACTGACATCCCTTAGAGCCCAAGCACAGCAATTGTGCCAAGGAGACATTATTTTGATACACAGAATCCGAGCCCCCACCAAGGCAGCTCTGCAGGGGAGCCTGCTGGGGAAAACAAAATATGTTCCAGGGAGACCTGCAAAAAAACCTGAGGTTTAAATAGGAGTTTAAAAGAAAAGAAACAAGCATCATATTTTTCTGTCTTGTGTTTTCTTCGCCCCCTATGCTGCATTCTATTTTGCAGTGACAAATTGCTGAAAAAAAAATGAAGATGAACAGAAAATAAGACTGGAGGAGGGGAAAAAAAAAGAGGGTTTTTTTGTCCAAAATTCATGAGGAGAAAACAAGCACTACAAAATTCTGCAAAATATCACCACCGATTAAAAGGCTGTTTTTCATAGGAACAGGCGTTTGGAATGATGGACAGTACCCTGCTGCCTTCTGACCCCTGCTCTCTCCTCAGCTCTGTCTCCCTGTTGGTGAATCCCCAGTTTTTCCTGTAGTAATAGCATTAATCTGACTGCCTCTGTGATCCCTCTCTCTCCTTAACGATGGTGCAGTTGACTCCAGGCAACCCAGAGGCCACGGGGACCGTGCGCAGTGGCTAAGTTCTGGACATGTTCAGGGGGATTTTTTTTCAGTCAGATATGGAAATGGAGTTTACTATTCTGAGTGCAGAGACACAGAGATAAGGGCTCCATCAAGCCCTGTGTTGCACAAAAGATTTTATTCTTGTCACGTAGCGATCGGAGCTGCAAGACCAGAAAGGGCCGCAATGATTTCAGCAGCATTGTGCAATGCCTCCTCCCAGTAAACGTGTGATCATAAATGGGGGATTAGAGACACAGGGAACGTGTTCTGTCAGCTGCTCAGAGAGTTCGCATGCACACGTCAGAGCGCACAAGAGCACATACAGAGAGGCATTCCTACCTGTTGTGCATGCATGCATACAAATGTGTTTACATGATTGCATGCCTGTATGTGTGGCTACCTGCAACTGCGTGAATGTGTATAAATATATGTACATATTCGTGTTCTGTGGGTACACTGATTCAAGGGCATATATATGTATGTATGAGACCACATGTGGCCACCCGCACAGACGCACACATACCCAGACACGCACATACCTCTTGGCCTAAGCATGAACGCCAAGAATGCAGCACACACACCTTAATGCACATAGCCCAGGCATGGGCTCAAACTGGGAGATGACATCTGGACCTTCCAAATGACCTTCCCCCCACACCTACCCACTCACCATACCTGCAAACCCAAGTACACAATGGTGGTCTGCGGCGGCTTTGGACCCACTTAGTGTGACCCTTCTGCTCTGCGACAGATCTTCAGGAGAGAATCTGGAAGGGCAGTGAAAGGCGATGGCTGAGGGGCTTCAGTGTGGAGAAGTGAGGGTGCATTCCAGGCTGTTACCAACACAGCCCACACTTATGTCATTTGGAGCTGTTGTTAGGGAGCCACTGTATTTGTCATCAGCAGGGAATCACAGCAGCTCGGATCAGGCAACAGCAAAACGGTCCAGGCCACATTCTGATTCAGCTATTCTACGTGGATATGGAACAAGGGGGTGGAGGGGGCAGGAAGCAGTTAATCCATTGTTGGAATAGGGTAGCCTGTAGAGATGGGGAGATAGAAGAAATGGAAACACCTCTGAAGAGAAGATGCTCCTGGCTCTCCTGAGGATCCAACAGAGAATTGAAATGCTTTATCTGCTCGAACGAGTGGAAAATATGCAAATATTTGCTCATGAAAAATCACTGGGTTTTGCCTTCCCAAGCATAAAATATGCAAACGCCACGCACACCGCAGCGGGCTCACGCAGATCTCACACTCACCACGTCACGCACAAACAGGCACACACGCATTCCCAGTACGTCAATGCAGCCAGCCAAAGACACGTGCCTGGGCTGCAGCACGGCAGCCTTCCCTACATGACAAATAAGGCCGCGG